AGCATACCACCCTTTGAAGACTTTGATCCTCATGGGAGGTTGGAAGTTGATGAAGTGTGGCATGAAACTGTAAAACAAGAGTTCTCTACAAGTATCCACCAAGCAAGAGTAGAACCATCAAAATGCAAGAGAATGGAGGAGAAGAAGAGAGCTAAAACTCGAAATTTTGGCATCCCTATAGAGCACTTGTTGCTCTCGGTTTTATGGACAAAAAGAAGAAGAAGAAGAAGCTTGCTTGAACCACTATCTAATGCCTCCATACCTTTGCTTATATACTAGCCAAAAGTAATAAAGTGTCTTACATAAAGTAAGTCAAATGTATGGCTTATGGAGACAAGCATGCTTGAAGAATAGACAAGGAATGCATGCCTTGTCTCCTCCTAATTTTGGCCTTATGGCTAATGCATGGAAACAAAGGATGTTCCATTATTATATGTCTAGTTTATACATGTATAAATATATATACCAACTTTATATAAAATGCTATATTTTATATAAAGTGATTCTTATATTCAAATAACTAATCATATATATATATATATATATATATATATATATATATATATATATATATATTATATAAAACTACCTTTTATATAAATAAACTCAAACTAGTTTATTAAGATATAAATATAACTTATAAATAATCATACTTTATGATATATTTTATAAGTTGTTATTTCTCCAATAAATATTATTTCCACAAATAATAAATTTCCAACTAGTAAAATATTATTTCCATGAAATAATAATATTCCAATTAAATACAGGTGTTGATATATTTATTAATAGTCAAATTATACTAATAAATAATCAATTGACGGTAACTTGGTATATGGTGTGACCCTATAGGATCATATATTATTAGCAATATCATTCTATAATGACTCTGGGGCATACTAGACCTTTCAGCTTAGAGATCCAAATTTGGCTTCACCATTTTTAAACCTTTGGGGTATAAAGTTTGTATCTTGTAAACTCCTTTTATAGATCTATTCTTGGGTTTGTTTATGGCTACTTTGGTCCCTTTTGTTGGTCCGTGTGAGCAAAGGTCGTTTCAGAAGCTTAACCCTTTAGATTTGGACATTTTAGGAGTCCCTTATGCATAAAAACGCAAAATTTATGGTGTTTATGGACTCATTCATGAGTTAAGACCTTTGTTAAGCTCTTTTGAGCTCTAGAGCCCCATTAAGCCATGCATGCACGTAAAGTTGACAACTTTACGTGATAAGTCATCTTTTGAGACAAGGTCTGAGAGTATGGAGTAGGGTTGAACTGTTTAAGTGCTTAATGAAGTGGGGGATGACACACTGGGAGTACGTTGGGCGTACCTAGCTGGTACCATGCGCGTACTAGCCCCAAAAGGAGTACACTTAGCGTACGAGCTGAGTACGCCCCACATACTTAGCAGATGGGCTTGGGTTAGACGTTCACAGTGTTGGGCCATTGTTTGGGCTTCCATTGCTTGGTCCTTGATTTGGGCCAATAGATTAGACCTATGATTATGGGTTGAGATCCAATTAATAAATTGGATATTGTTAATATTGATAGCGTGTGGATTTACCGAACCAGCAGCCATAGATTTATTCCAAGTGATTCAACAGCTTGAGGTGAGTTTCATCACTGTGTTTAGCGGGTCGAAGGCACCAATGCCGGCACATGATCGTTAAGTTTAGGATGCTAGATGTCTGTGTGACTCTTTCATAGGTTATGTGGTTACATGTTTACCGGGCGGCCCCGATGCCGAACGGGGCCTGATGCTAGGAAGGGACCCAATGACCGTTTTATATGATATCTATCTTGAGATTATTGAATGTGTTATGTGTATACGTATTTACCAGGCAAGACCCGATGCCAGGCAGGGCCTGTTGACTATCATGCATGTTATTACCTTAATGATTATTACATGTGGTTTATGTTGTTATGTCTATATGCTTGTATTTGTATCGGGCGGGTCCGATGTCGGGCGGGGGCCCAATGTATGTTTGATATGTGTGGTATGTGGTATTCTGGGGAACTCACTAAGATTTATGCTTACGGTTTTCAGTTTACGTTTCAGGTACTTCCGGTGCTAAGGGGAAGAGCTCGGGGTGATTGCAGTGCACACACGATATTGTTCCGCATTTTCATGATTACTCTGATATTTTATGATGTATTATAGATTTGTTCCACTTGGGATTTATGATGATGTTTTGGGATACTGTTTTTATTAATTTAAAACTAATTTTTTTTGGGTCTTATTTTTCGGATGTTACAGATCTAAGCTAGTCCTTTGCTTCCTTGCACCAAGATAAAGTTCCTTCTTCCTTAAGCTTCACAAAACCACGAGGGAAAGCTCAAGACTAAGCCACCAAGCTCATAACCATGAACGGGAGACTAGGGTTTCGAAAAAGGGAGAATGTAGGCCGAATAGGATGCCCTAATCCAAGAGTTAAAGCCCTTAAATACGAGAGAAACCCTAATTTCATAGGCTTGGGATACAACGATCACCATGCCATGGTTACTTCTTCAGCACGACGTTGTCACCAGCTAGCACGATTCTCATTTAAGTGGCATGGCCACGTCATGGTCTACAACCCACCATGCCGTGTCATAAGATTTTTCCCCAAAATCTTATCTTGAAATCCTTAAGTCTTCAATCAATCATATTAGAAAGATGGGTGTTACACATTTTCCCCCTTTCATCCATTATATTCTTTTTTGGTCTACCCCATGAACATCTCATCTACCACAGTTTATTGCACCTTCTATAGAGATTAATTGTCCTTCTACCACTACACCACCATTTGCTTTGGATCCTTAAGTTTTTTTAGCAATCTAGACAGCTCCTTGCTTCAAATCTTGTTGTCATATCAACATTTGTCTCGTGTATAGATGATTACACTCGTTAAATGTTGGTTTATCTCATGAAGCATATATTTGGCTTTTTGACAATCTACGATAGTTTTAATGCTCTTGTCAAGACACAACATTCCATTGTTATAAAATGTTTTCGGTGCGACTTAGGGGGAGCATACCTCTAATGATTTCATGTAGTTCTTTGCATCATATGATACCATACACTAATCGTCCTGTGTCGATACTCCTTAATAAAACAGTGTTGCATAAAGAAAACATCAACATCTTGTTAGAACTGCTCGCTCTTTGTTACTATCCTCTAAGGTTCCTAATGCATTTTGGGGAGAATTACTCCCAACCACTAATTATGTGATCAATCGAATCGATACTTCACATAATCTTGGGATATCTGCGTTCGAAAAGCTATATGGTCACTTACCTGATTACTCATCATTATTAATTTTTTGGTGTACTTGGTTTGTTCTCCACCCACATGTTGAGAGAAACAAATTATCTCCACGATCATCATGCATACGGTATTGGTCAGAAATGATATCTGTAATATGATCCAACGACTCAGAAGTTGTATGTCTCGCGACACACCACTTTACTTGAGCATATTTTGTTCTTCTACATTCCTACCAAGTCTCATGAAATGACATAGCTACAGTCTATTGTTCTTTTTGATAGCTATGTCAATGACATTGCACTTGATGGCCCAATTTATAATACAACCACAATATCAGACACCCCTCCTACTCCTGAGACTACTTCTTACCTACAGTGACTATGAATCTTCCACCACTTTGTAAGTCCATTGGTACTTTTAAGTCTACCTAACTCATGGAGTTTTCTTCTTCGTCTTATTCGGCTTTGTTTGCTTTATTTATTGTCAATATACATAATTGTCAAAACCTGAGTCCTAAGTCCTACAGAGAGGTTGTATCTGATCTCTTTTGGTAGGATGCTATGGTTGAGGAATTTAAGGCTCTTCACCACACTTATACATAGGATCTAGTTTCGCCCTACACGAAATTGATGACAACAACGACGATCGTCGTGTCTGATAACATTTGCATCTATTCGTCGGTGAAATGTGAACAGTTTCAATAGTTTAGTGGTAAATAGATAACGAAAAAAAGTTTAGTGACTAAACGTGAACAAAGTCAAAAGTTTGTTACCCTTCCAAGTCAATATCACTTAAAACTTTTTTCTGGCATTCCATTATTTTAGTGGGCGGTTTAGTACCTAGATTATGACTGTTGACTGCATTACTTCAACTCATCCAAATCCATATTATTTGCAACGCACCAACAATAATTGAGGCTTGTTCATACTTCATATATTGGCCTTCTTCTTCACAATTCGAACCACTTGTTCACATACATACTTTACAAAGCAGCAAAAACAGCAAGCATTAGCACAGGCCCATACAGTAGAGCGAGGTACGTTTTTGTTGAAAGTTTTTCTCTTTGTTTACGAATAACCTGTTTTAGCTGGTTTTTGTTTTGAATCTATCGATCCTTGACTAAATTATATGAAAAAATGTTTGCTTTGCTACTCTTTGTGGATTGTTCGTGTATGCTCAGTGCTCTAAAGATAAAATCAACTAAATGTTTAAATGAATGACAATGCCTCCTCATTTTCCTTCTTTTGAACAAATGTATCGGAGGAATAGTTTTATGAGGATGGATGCTTCCACGTAGAGATCAGCTCTAGCCCTAATAAAACCCCTAATTTTATCACTGTGGCACTCTGTTTCCAATTACTAAATCCCCTAATTAAAGCTACGATATTCTTCCTCATCTTTCACAATTTTACACGATGATGATGAGGATGTTGAAATTAACAATCAATTCCCACTCACAATCATTTCAAAGAAAACAAAGGTTAAGTTGACAAGGATGACAAACAACAAATTAAATCTGAATTTACCAACTACAAATTCTTTTCTAGCCAAACGTGTTATGTGTGAAGGAAATTTTTATAACACTAACTATCTATGGATTGTATATGATATTTGAAAAAAGATAGTTCTGCAAGTTAATAATGAAAATATCCATGGATAAATATATACCAATCAACAACTTTTAACAATTTCATCCCTTGTGTTGATTTTTTACATGGTTTGCAGGTCTTATTAACAGCTAGAATATTGGAAGATGGAGTTTGTATCCGCAATCATTGGTCCTATTGTTGAATCTTTAATTGCTCCTGTCAAGAAACAACTGGGATATCTCTTTTCCTCCACAAAGCATGTTAGGAACATGAATGCTAAAATAAAGCTACTGGATGATACAAGCCGTGATGTCAAAAATCACATGGAAACAAACAATAGAAGTAATCTGGAGATACCTGCTCATGTATCGGGGTGGTTGGAAAAAGTCGAAAAGACTAAAGAAAAAGCTCAAAGGCTAAACAGTCCAAGTACTGGGAATGGATGTTTTAACATGAAAATGAGGTATCGAGCAGGAAGGAATGCATTCAAGATCACGGAGGAGATGGAAAGTCTTATTGATGAAAATATTAAGATAATGTGGGCAAATGCTCAAAAACCTCTTGGGAAAGTGAAGTCTAATAACGCATCCACTTCTACGCCATCAGTTGGTGATGCCCAAAATCACTTTAAATCGAGAGAGAAGTCTTTTAAGGATGCACTTGAGTTCCTTCAACAAGATCACATGAGCAAAGTGATAGCCCTTTGTGGAATGGGTGGTGTGGGGAAAACCACTATGATGGAACAACTGAAAAAGACTGTAGAAGATAAGAAAATGTTTGACTGGATTGTGAAGGTGGTGATTGGGCAAAAGACTAACATGCTTTCTATTCAGCAAGCTGTAGCAGAATACATGGGCCTATCTCTAACTGAAACGAGTGTAGCAGCAAGGGCAGATCGTCTTCGTATCACATTTGGGAAAATGTCAGAAAGAAAAGAAAAGATTTTAGTGATATTAGATGATGTATGGGAGATGATTGAACTCAAAGATATTGGACTGAGTCCTTTGCCTAACGGCTTCAAGCTGTTGCTAACATCACGATATGAAAATATTTGCAAACAAATTGGAGTAGAAGTTGATCCAGATTTGAAAATCGTTAAAGTGGATGTGGTGGAGGAGCCCGAAGCACAGAATTTCTTTTGGCAAATTACAGGTGCTTTAAAACAACATGATAATGAGCTGAATAAAATAGGAACAAAGATTGTGAGAAGATGTGGGTTTTTGCCCCTTGCCATTAATCTCATTGCCAGTCGTCTTAAGTTTGAAGAAAAGGGTGCATGGAGAGATACACTTCGCCGTTTGGAGAATAAAAATCTTGATTATGTGCAAGAAAGTATCAAGATAAGCTATGACTATATAAAAGAAGAGGAGGAAAAAGCGAATTTTCTTCTGTGTGGCTTGTTTCCCGATGACTTTAATATTCCAATCGAGGAACTCACAAGATATGCATGGGGCTTACGGTTGTTAAATGGAGTTTCTACTTTGGGAGAGGCTAGAGATGGGACAGAGACGCATGTACACAGTCTCAAAAAAGCAAATTTGTTGATGGATGGCGATTACATTGGGTGTGTCAAAATGCATGATCTTGTGCTCGATTTTGTTTTAGGTAGAGTTTCTAAGTGTGACCATCCTTGGGTAATTAATCATGGTGATAATTCAAAGTGGAGTAGTGATGGAATGAGTGAAATTTGTAACAGAATTTCTATTACTTGCATGGGCATGTTTGAGTTTCCTAGAGACTTTAAATACCCAAACCTTTCACTTTTGAGACTTATGGATGGAGATAAGTCGCTTAAGTTTCCTGAAGGTTTTTATGAAAGAATGGAAAATCTTGAAGTTATATGAGGGTAGATGATAAAAAGGCAATTAGGTTCACAAACAGCAATCATGTTGAATTAGCACAACTGTCAGAGCACCTTTCTGCATTAGAAGTTGAGTTCTTTGATAACAGTGGTAAGCCCGTGAATGTGTTGTTTATGGAACTTAAAAGGTTCAAGATCTCCATGGGACGTGCTTTAGGAGATTATACGGGCTTCAAGAAGCACTCATTTGAAAACACATTGATGTTGGTCACTAGCAAAGATGAGCTGTTGGAATCTAGAATGAATGAGTTGTTTGAGGAAACTGAGGTGCTTTATTTAGAGGTGGATGGCATGAAGGATCTTGAAGAAGTTTTAGTGGAACCCAAATGTGTGCCTCAACATTTTTTTAATAATTTAAGAGTCCTTGATGTTTTCAAGTGTGCAAACTTGAAATGCCTCTTCACAGTTCCTATGGTAAGTGGTTTGATGAAGCTTGAGCGTCTCACAATTTCTGAGTGCCCTGTTCTGGATGTACTGGCATATAGTGAGAATGGTGTAATTAAGTTTCAGGAGCTAAAGTTTCTAAAATTGGATAGGCTACCAAAGTTGGTTAGTCTTTGCAATACTGTTAATGTAATTGAGCTACCAGAGCTGGTGGAGTTGATACTAGATGGCCTTCCTAATTTCACTAGCATTTATCCTGGGACTACATCTTCTATATCCAGTAACGTTTCTGAAAATCAACCATTCTTTAACAAAGAGGTACCTCTATACTAACATTTATGTTAACAGTTACATAGATTGACTAAGTAATGAAACTTTATATGGAGTATTATTTAAGGCATTCCTTAAGAAAAATATATTTGATTGGATGGTGCTATTGATGATCAAAATGTCTTTATTATTGTGCAGATGTTGATTCCTAAGTTAGAGATATTGAAAATTTTTAGTATGGATAAGCTGAAAGAGATATGGCCTTATCAATTTAGTAGTAGTGACAAAGTTAATGCCTGCATGTTGAGAGAGATTAAAGTGGCGAATTGTGATAATCTTGTGAATCTGTTTCCAACCAATCCCATGTCTTTATTGGGTCGTCTGGAAGAGCTTGGTGTTTTAGGATGTGGAAGCATTGAAGTGTTATTTAACATCGACATGAGTTGTGTTGGTGAAATTGAAGAATACAGTAGCAACTTGAGACAAATTGACGTATATGGTTTGGGGAAGCTAAGAGAGTTGTGGAGGATCAAAGGTGAAAGTAGCTCTGATATCCTCATCCGTACCTTTCAATCTGTTGAATGGATACAAATAAAATGGTGTGAGAGGTTTGTAAATGTATTCACACCGACTCTCACCAATTATGATGTGAGAACACTTATGAATGTGAGTATAGATGGTAGGAGACCTTGTGAAGAAATAAAGACAAACATTGAATCGCTTCACAAAAGCCAAGAGGTATGTGATGTCATTGGGCTTTCAATTTCTATTTCTATTTTGATGTTACAACACTTATATATTTATTTGTAGGAGATTTGTAATTATATTTGTTGTTGAGATATGTGCAGATTAATGTCATATCCTCAATTCATCCCAAACCTTTTCTTAATTTCCTTCAAGTAACTGACTGTAAAGATGTTGAAGTGGTGTTTGAGATAGAGAGTTCCAGCAGCAACACAGATTTCACAACAACTCCACATAAATATAATCATCAACCACCACTACTACTACTACTTCCCTACCTCAAGGAATTGAGGTTATTTGATATGGAGAGGATGAGTGATGTGTGGAAGTGCAATTGGAAGAAACTTGTAATTCCTCAAAACCAATCACAATCCTACTCATTCCACAACCTCACAAACATACACTTGATGTCTTGCAATAGCATAAAGTACTTATTTTCACCTCTCATGGGCAAACTTCTTCCCAACTTAAAGAAGGTGGAGATATATAGTTGTGATGGTATTGAGGAAGTTGTTTCAAATAGAGATATTAATGATGAAAATGAAGAAATAATATCTACTCACACAAACACCATATCCTCTTTCCCTCTTCTTAAAACACTCGAAACTGTGGAATCTGCCATGCCTAAAGAGTATCGATGATCAGTTCAAGGTATCATTTCTCTTAAATGGATCCTTTACATATTCAGTTATTTGTTTTATTTGTTTTTTTAATATTCTATTCTCCTTTAGCTGCTTTATATAACTCCCTAAGCTAATTCTTCTGAAGCTGGAAACACAAAATAAATAACTACATACCAATTTTTTTTTTCATAGTTTATAGTTTATAAATCATATCAAATGCATTTTTTTATCCAGTTTTAGACCGGATTGTGAGGGAGAGAAAAAAATTGATTGATAAATGTATATAAGTCATATCAACATTACTCTTGATTTTTTGTTAAGTAATATGAGAAATGGAACAAAAATGATTTTATTGATGCTTTTTTTGTTTCCTAGCTTGCAATTTTAGCTTAATAAAGTTCAGTTTGTTGTTTAAGAGATTTTTTTTTCTGACATGGAACTAAAAAATAAGAAACTTTACCTAACTATATCTAGTGTTCCAACTGAAAATATATAAATACAATATGTGGCAAAAGACTCCTGTTTAGATGTAGCACACACACATGATGGAAGACTTGGAATAAATTAATTATTAATCAGATGCTAACATTCTCCATATTAAATTTCTCTTCCTTTTGTCATTGTGTCCTAAATTAATCGTTCATGTTAGTAAAATTATTTAAAACAAGAAGAAGATGATGTAATCAATGCAAGTGCAAAAATATAAACATATTCATTGCAAACTCATTTCCTAATAATAAATTTAGGAGTAAAGTTATGTTTTCATTTTCCCACATTGAGGGGGTAATTGGTTATAGAGTCCAATGCCTTTTATTTTCTCTTCATAATTCATGGCACTATACTAATTTTGAACTGGGCCTGAGCCGTATACAGAAAAACTGAAAACCACTATAATTTAGTCATTTTTGCTGTTCAACATACTTTCCTTTATTTGCTTATTATAGCATCCTACTTTCATTTCTTCCAATTATAGCATCATACATTCATACTTTGACAAATATACCCAATTATATATATATATATATATATATATATATATATATATATATATATCCATTTTTTCAACATAAATCCATCTTGAACTCTCTATCATCTTGTAAACCATTTGAATCCTTCAAAAGTGGGCCCACATTTTGGTCTTCTATCCTTATCCTGATTCTGCTCAGATTGATTTTGTCTTTTATCTTTTAGAAGTATGCTTCTTATGATCTTTCTACTCGTCTCATGTCCTTGATTCTATCTGCCACCACCAGAACCATATAAAAATTTCTGCTGATGTGTCACGCCAGTGGTGACCTGGAATTTGTGAAAAGTCCAATTCCATTTATTTTCTCTTCATAAATCATGGCACTCTACTTCAGCTTGTCTCATGAAAGCAACCCAAAGTCGTCACAATAGAAAATTGTCAACGTTGATTGGCTTTAGTAAAATTAATTGGACTAAACATTGACAACTTTTCCAATTATGACCACTTTAACCTGCTATAGGAGGTCAAAGTGGTCGATATAGAATGAAATTTCAAACTTGGGTAGGTTTAATGAGCTAAAACTGAAATGGAGTTGTTAAACTGCAAAAAAATGCCCGAAATATAGTGATTTTTCTGTATATTGCCCTTTTGTAGTTCAACTTACTTTAGTTATAGGAAGCACTTTTGTTTCTAACCACATTTCTAGAAACAAATATTGTGTTAGATTGTAGTGTGCATGTACATAGCAAACAGCTAAGCTTTGTTAGTTTAAATAGATCCATTGGTTTTTCATGTGTTGTTGTAGTGTTCTCAAGTCGGTGTTGCTTCTTGGTTCTTAAGCCAATACTCCAAAGAGATTATTATACGTGATTGTCATGCCTTGTCAAGAGTGTTTCCATCTTATGTAGTGGATCTATTTGAAAGTGAAAGAGTCAACAATGATGGAGTTGATAGTACTACTAATGTTGGTGATGGAAGTGATGATACTTGTAGTACTGCAATCACCATCCCAAGGTCCGCAAATATGACTTTGCTTCAATTGGCCAACCTAACGATGTTGACAATCAAAAAGTGTGAAGTTTTGGAATATATATTCACAAGTTCCACACTTGAAAGCCTCAAGCATCTCAAAGAATTGACTGTAGAAGAATGCAAGGCAATGAAAGTGATTCTGAAGGAAGATGGAGAGCACAGAGAAACATCTAAATCTATAATAGTGTTCCCACGTCTCAAGTCTCTTACACTGGGTGGCTTACCAAATATCAAGGGTTTCTTCTTGGGGATGAATGAGTTCAGATGGCCAGTATTGGAAAAGGTTAAGATTTATGGCTGCCTACAAATGATGACTTTCACATCTGGTCACTCCAAGGCTCCGAAGCTCAACTACATACATACAATATTAGGCAAACATAGTCTTGAATGTAGCCTCAACTTCCATTTGACCAATGTTACACATGAGGTATGTTGTTACTTTACTTCATCATTTAACCAGGTCAACATGTCGTTTTATGTGTATTCCGGAAGGAAACACAAAGCAAAACCAAATGAAGATACATAACCACTTCCCATTTTTTGTATCTATAAAAAGTTACGAAAAATATGCAATTTTATTTTTTTATTGTAAATTAATATTTCATCTCTAAGTTATTAAGTTGTTGATTTTGTTATGAAAGATGTTATATTCACTCATTCATCAGTTAACCACTTAATAGTTAGATGAAATAAAGACAGGCCCAATTGACCCACTAACCGTGACTAGTTTTTTCCATGTCAAGAGCTGAAAATACAATAACATAATTATATATTTTTTCCTAAGAAAATCGGATGTAAATATTTAGTATGTGAATGCAACTAGACTAAATATTTACTTTCGTTTTGACCCCCCACAAATAAAATAAATAAATAAATAATAATCGATAAAATCTAAATTGTTGATTGGAAATACATGTTGGCTCATTGAAGAATAATAGAACGTGCAATCATTTAATACGTTTGTATACTAAATGTAATTTTCTTTTATAATTGTCATGTTTGTGATGATCTATGTTTGATTTTTTTTCGTAGCATACTCAACTCCCTATGTGCTCTACTCCAGATATGATAAAGCTACTTCAATTCCCTTGGTCTTTTTCAAATTTAATTGAAGTAGATGCACATGAGTATGGTGACAAATTGTTGAAAAGCAGCATAATTTTTCCATGCAAGGAGTTGCTTAATCTGAAGAATCTTGAAAAGGTTTATATTATCAAACCCAAGTATGTTGAATCCACAATAGAGGAGGTATTTGAAGTAGTAGATGAGACAAACAAGTATGTGGTAGTTCCAAAGCTAAAGGAGGTGGCTCTGAATGGACTAGAGAAACTAAAACATATGTGGAAGAGCAATCGGTGGATAGTGTTGAACTTTCCAAACCTTACAAAGGTGTCAATTAATAACTGTCCACTTCTTGGACACGTGTTCAGTGGTTGCATGGTTGGTAGTCTATTGAAGCTCCAAGTGCTAAAAATAAGTGACTGTGAGAGTATGGATGTGATTGTGAAGCAAGTTGAAGATTCCGAAACTAGACCGATTACTGAGGTTGTGTTCCCTTGTCTAAAATCCATAACACTTGAAAAGCTTCCAAATCTCAAGGGATTTTGCTTAGGAAAGGGAGATTTTCTATGGCCATCATTAGATGCTTTGGAAATCAAAAATTGTCCAGAAATAGCGGTTTTCACAAATGGACAATCAACTACTCCGGATCTGAAGTTAATAGATACAACTTTCGGACTGTGTCATGTAATGGAAGACCCAAACACTTTTATAAAGACCAAACAACAAGAGGTATGTGGTGTCTTCTTTGGTTATTATTATTATCAGATTAATGTTTTCTCCAAGAAAAAGATTACATTACTCTCCAATTTACCACTTTTTGTAATCTCCTACAGGGATGGCAGTTTTAGAGAAACAACAAATTCACACATGCAGTTTGATGCATTTTGAAGTTAGCTATAAAGTATAAACCATAGGTAAGATTACATTGTACACTTTTTTTCTTTTGTCCTTCTCATGTACATGTTTTTCTACCTTAATTGTCTGATTGAATTGACTTGTTGTCATAGTTGCTTGCTTACTCTTTCAATCTTGGTTATTGAACTTCTAGTTTCAAGTAATCTCATGTACGATGTGTCTACTTCTTGTATTTGATTAAGCTGTGACCAACTTGGCAATAAATACGCAAGCTTTTCTCGAGTGGTTTGTTATATTCCATTATTTTAAATAGTGCATAAAATTCACGGGTTGAAGGTGCATAGAATGATAATCTATAAATGAAACTTGCATGCCAGGCAAGAAAGAAAAGAAAAAGTATCTACCTAATAGAAACCTAATTTGCTTGTACATAAAACTACCCTTAATTTAACAGATATGGTTTGTTTATATTTTATGGGCACCAAGTGTTTGATAAAATTCTTCAATGAAAACAAGCTTTTGGCTCCTCTTGTAAGATTAAGAACGTAAAAAACCAATCAAAATAACATCGGATTTATAGTGGAAAAACCCGAAATCGGAAAAAAACCACTTGAAAGAACACTATATTAATCTCTATAATTTTTAAGGGTTATAACTTATAATGGCTTGTGTTGGTGTAAAAACGAGAATGGAAGGATAATTAAAATTGTATCTAATATATCCTATATATAAGAATCAAATAAGAGTCCTAATAGAACTCTACTTGGAGAGTAAGAAATAAAAGAAAAAAAATGACAGCCTTATTGAACAAGGAAGCTATGCAGCTTACCAAACTCTCTAGCAACAGTTTTTAGAATGTGTCACCAAACAAAAAACTCCCATGCATGCTTTGATTCAGATCATATTCAACAATCTCCACCTTGAGACGAAACCAAACTTCAACAACGTAACCTGCAACCATCGGGTGAAATGAAATACATACGGTGTTCAAAAGTCAGAGTGAAATGAAAAACATACAGTGTTCAAAAGTCACTAAGGACTTAATTTGAAATACAAACCAAATATGAACAAAGTTTAAATTTGGCGGTCGGAATCGGCTTCGTCATCATGTCGACCGGGTTTTCCTTGGTGTTAATCTTTCTCACATTGACATTGTCTTGGGCAATGACATCTCTAATGTAATGGTATCATATGTCAATGTGCTTAGTTCTTTCATGGAACATCGAATCATTCGTGAGGCATAGCGCACTTTGAATGTAGCAATAAATTGTAATGCATGAGAAATCACCACGTAGCTCACCGTACAACCCTCTACACCGCGAACAAGCCCTTTGACCGCGCCATGGTCCCAAGGTCAGATCACAATGGCTTCCTTCCCACCGCGCAAACGGCCAGACCTATGTTGTGTTGTGGTCTCGTTGATGAACCACTTGAATAATTAAGAGATTAATCTGACAAGTCCAAGTCTCATACTTTCCATAAGGCATTAATGCACTCCCATGACTTATAAAAATCGTAACATTATAGACATGCTTGTACAATGCATGTCTCACAACCTTCTAGATCAAAAGTGACCAGAATCAGATCCTAACTCCAAGCATGATACCTAAAGACCATGAAAGACCAAATTCATGGATCAAAATACTTATGGGACAAGGTGGAATGATAAAGTTACTGTAACACCATGTTTCAAGTCTTATCATAATTTGAGGTCGTGACCCGAAGATCAAACCTCATAAGGCTTCAGGCTTTGGGGAAAGAGAGGTTTAGACTCATTTGGATGTGGGTAACATATATTATGTGATCCAAGAGTTCGGTTTATGCTTTGGAGTCAAAGGGTAAAATGGGAAAAGTGGTGTTTCAGACTTCTTTTATGAATTAAGGATTTTAGTTTGATGTGTTTTAAGTCAAAAGTAATTAGATAGCGTTGTAAAGCTCTACAATACCTTTCCGTGGATCTAAAGATAATTGAAAACGGAATTGGAACGAATAAATTATGACCATTAGAAGTTAGGAAGGTTTTGGGCTTAGTCTAGTACGTTGGGTGTATAGGAAGTATGGCGGGCCTACGCGATCAGAACCTAAACCCTGTTTTCATGGTTTGAGCCCTATTTAAGCTCCTTAAATTCCCCAAACCCATTCTATTCTCAGCCTTCACCTCTCCAACACCCTCCCTTGAAACCCTAACCCTAGTTTGAGCCTTGTGAGCAAAAGAAGGTGTTCTTGAGTGCTTTGGAGTGTTCTTGGTGCATCTTGGAGAAGAAGGACCTCGTTGGAGAAGTGTTGGTTGCATTGGAGCTTGTAGATCCAAACTTTGTTCACCTTGATCTTTCTTTTAGAGGTATAAAGCTTGAATCTTGATGATGTGTTTTGTTAGATCTAGCTAGTTTGGGTGTTTTGAGCTTTTGGTCACTTTAGTTCATAAAGTTTAGATCTTGAAAGTTTGTGACCTTGTTATAGATAAAGTTGGAAACTTTATCCATCTAAACATCATATTGATTCAGATCTAAAGGTTGGAGGCCTGGACTTAATGGATTAAGTTGAAAAAGATGCACCTTTGGTTCCTTTGAGAGTTAAAATACTAGATCTTGGTTGTTTGTACCATTTCAATGGATAAAGTTGGAAACTCTATCTATTATGGAGCTATTAGGAACCATAAAAATGTGATATTGGTCCTTATATCCCTTCTATGCAAGAGTTAAGGTGTCTTAATGGATAAATAAGTTAGGGTTTTATCTTTTGGACCTTTTCTATCCATGGAAAGCCATAAATGTGGAAACTTTATGACTTAAGTCGATGTTTTGAGTCTAGATCTGAGCTCTGGACAAAAGGCCTTAAAGGATAAAGTGCTTAATTGGAATATTAGAACCAGCTCGTGTACGTGGGGCATACCTGGGAGTACGCTTAGTGTACTAAGTTGAGATCGTGTACGATGGGCGTAAGTTGAGTACGCTGGGCATACTCAGCTGCCATAGACTTTGACTTTTGTTTACTTCCTTTGACCGTTGACTTTTTGACCAGTTTGACTTTTGGTCAAACATGAGTAGAATTGAACATTTGGCTAAGGAATTGTTTCGGTTTGGCTTAACGAAGCTTGGGTTGGGATGTTTTGTTGTTGAGGTAGATGTTGGGCTTCTGTTGAATAGTTCAGGTAAGTCTCCTCACTGTCCTTGTAGGTCGAAGGCACCAATGCCGACCCACTGGATTATATTGTAGGATAGTAGTGGTCTTTGTGACACTTACCGATATGCTTGTATGTGCTTGTTGTCTTTGTGACTCATGCTTATATGTTTGTATGCTTATATATGTTGATTGCTATGGACCCGGGGGTTGATACGGACCCGAAACAACTACTTGTTGTCATATGGGGTTGATACGGACATGTCACAACTATTTGCTTTCATATGGGGTTAATACGGACCTGACACAACTATTTGTTGTCATACACGGTTGATACGAACCCGACACAACTATTTGTTGTCATATGGGGTTGATACGGACCTGACACATCCACATGTTATTATATGTATATATGTTGTATGTGGTACTCTGGGGAACTCACTAAGCTTTGTGCTTACAGTTTATGTTTATGGTTTTAGGTACTTCTGGTTCTAAAGGGAAGGGTCTGACGCAACTGCACAGCTTCCCCCAGAATTTATTTCGCATTGATAATTTTTACTATGGTGTTTATATCCTATTTTTATCCTGAATGGTTTTGAGAACAAGTTGTTATATGAATTATTGTTTTAAAAATGAAAATTTTACGTTGGATTTTCAGGACGTTACAAGTTGGTATCAGAGCCTTAGTTTGAGGGATTCGGGCACACTCTTGGGTGTGACCGAACTCAAACTGAGGAATTGGTAATCTTCGAAAGAAAACAAATTTCTAAAGAGATTTTTATAAAGAAAAGGGGGTTTGATGCATGCAATCAACCGTGCTCAAGTAAGTGCTTCCCAGAATACCTATACATGTTGATATGTTATATGATATGAATGCTTGCATTCTAGGATGAGGCTAGGGATACTTTTAGGAATTACATGATAGATTGGCATGAAAGGTGATGCCTTGAAGCCTAGGAGAATTGGATGATATGCTAGATTTGGAATCTATATTGGTAGAAGTAATTGCTAAGTTTATGCTTTAAAAATTATATATGATTAGGATCATATTTCCTGTATTGTGTATAATTTGCATGCATAAGGCAACCGACAGTGAGAGTAGAAGTTCCTAGCATGGTAGTAGTGAGTCAGCTTGGCATGTCCTGTGTTTGTTTTGTGGTTTGGAGTGTTACTGCATGAATGCTGCTTGCTTTGTGCTTTGTGGGAATTTTGTGGATGTGAGTTAACCGTTAAGTGAACACGTTAAGTTACGTGCTACAAAGGTTGGATAATCTCATAGTGATGAATTTTCCCCTATTGCGCAACTCTTGTGTGAGTTTAACCATTGTAGGGTCGAGGCTGTTAGTCTAAGGATTATTTGAACTAGGTTGCACGTAATTGTATTCATGAAGTGGTTAACTAACATAAGTGAGAGTCTTTCAATAACTGATGACAGGGTGAGGTCGGGAACCTAGGAGAGCTTAGGAAGCATTTTAGTGGGAATGGTTGCGATTTTTAGCCGGTACTTGGAGTACTAGTTGAGAAGGTGACTTAGAGGATTCGGGATAATCTTGAGGAAAGTATGGATATGTGTGGAAGGTAGTATTGGGCCTGTACTACTAAAATCACAGGATTCATACTCGAATCAAGGGGAGTCACGGAGAATCTAGGAAGCTAGTAGGATGAGGATTCCTTGAGTATGTTCTGATTATAGTATGATTTCTATTCAGTATGGTGATGAGCACTCATGGAGGAGGATCTGGTACAGGCTCTGGTACTGGCACCAATCTGATGGATGAGCGGAAGCGGGAGTTCATCTTATTGGAGATCACCCGCGGTATTGTGGAGCAAACTCCTGTGATTTTTGGTACGATCAAAGAAGGGATCATGGGGATTATGCAGGAGCATCAAGACGCGTACCGCACTGGGATTATGGAGTTGATGGATGAGAGACTTAGGATCTTTCGGGCCGAGATCGCGGCAGGACAGTTACATGCGCAGGCTTCCTCATTTAAGAAGAAAACTTTGTTGGTTCCACAGTATGCGGCAGACAAGGAAATGAAGAAGGCGATGTATCATGATATGTTGAGGGATGACATCAGTGAGCCCTTGAGCTTGTCAGTGTGCAAGACCCTGAATGATATGATTGCTAGAGCCCGAGACTAGGAGATTG